ACGATTAACTTTAGTGATCTTAGTACTTTAATGAAATAGAGATTTTTATTTTATCGCGTTATAGTAAAAATGAATTTAGAGAGGCTTTAAAAAAATAAAGTTTGAAAGACCATTGGACCTAATGATATTCCAATAGAGGTGTAGAAATGCTTAGTAGATGAAGGAATTTATTGGCTTACTAAACTTTTTAATATTATTTGAAGACTAAAAATGCTAGAAGAGTGGAGATTGAGTGTGTTGATTCCTATTTTGCGAAATATAATGAATTAAGTTGATGTGTTCTTCTTTAAAACTTTGGGAGAGAGTTTATGGAGCATAGGTTACACGTGATACTAATGTTTCTCAAAATCAATTTGATTCATGCCCGGTAATCTACTCTTGGAAGCTACTCTATTTTTGAGAGGGTTGCTGGAGAAGTTTAGAGAGAATAAGGAGGATCTAAAATGAAATTTATTGATTTAGAGAAAGAAGATGATAAAGTTCCAGGGAGAAGTGCTATGAGAGTTCTAGAAAAGAAGGGGTTTATATGCAGTGTGGGCTCCAAAAATTCCATTTTAGGTGTGTGATCCGGGATTTTCAGAAGGCAGATTGAGTTTTGATAAGACACTACCCAGAGATTTCGCTCTCATTTGTGAGGACTTTTTGATCTGAGTTTGGTTTCCTATAGCGCAAGCCCCTATAGTTAATTACCCCTCCTGATAACAGGAGAACTTTCGTAAGGCTAGTCGTTTAAGCGTTCACATAGGTTTGAACCTATCGTATAATAGCAATAATTTAAGGTTTAAGTTTTGGATTTGGATTTTAAAGTTGGAATTAGAGTTTACACCACAAACTTAAAACTGGTGTTGGGGAATGAAGACGAGCCCGATCAAGATCCCATGGTTCGCGTCGTCCGGGCTGTCATGATCCTGGTCTACTTAGTCAGAGGAGGTAGTCGACCCAACCTGACAAAAGGCATCTTGTCGCAGCCATGGTTGCTTAGTCCAAGAATACCTTGTAAACCTGGGTTGATGTTTGTCTGAGGGGATATATCTGAATCCACCTTAGCTAAAGAGGGTTTTATGCCTATCAATATACCCTATGATTCATAACTCAAGGGTTTGACGCCTTTAGACAACATACGGGCTTGGCCGTGATCGTATATAATGAGCCATTTTGCAACAAAACCACCCGATCAGAGGCACGTGCCACGTTCCTGTTGCAAGAGACTGTTTGAGGATGAATCGTAGTGATACACCCGATAACAACATTTACTCTTTGTGAGCTGAGGTTAATTTCAATTTAATACCACCGAACAAACGGTTGCGGGAAGGTGGATATTTTTAGTTTTGACGTATTTTAGGTGAAGTGTTTATTATCACGAATTTTAGACTTTTGTTTGATTTGAGATTAAACCCTCCGGTTGAGATTTTCTGTCAACGCGGCCATCATCGGGTGGCTTTGATCACTTGTATTTCGTAGGATTTTGGGAGGCATTTTATTATTCAAGTCATGTCGACTCCAGTCCTCTCAAGGAGGAGGATGAAATTTGAATATTTAACCCGCCAGCATTCTCGATCGTGGATTTTGGACTTAGATATTACAATCGGAGCACATGCGGGTATATTTAAGTTCAAGAATCATATTTAATACATAAGGAGGATTTAAAATTATTAAAACATGATCCTTATGCGAGAGCAATTTATTTAGAAAATATCGAATTTCATTTAAGGAGCCTCGAACGCCTTCTGTCTGCTTGCACATATGTGCGGATCCGATGACGTGAGCTTTCTAGACTTCAGTTATTGCATTTGTTTGTTTAACTCTTCTAAATGTCACTTAGCACAAATCGTAGAGGGTGTTTGCCTCAATCCCCACTACTAGATCATGTTCGTAGAGGAATTATTTTGTGCTACAAATTCCTCTATTCTTTCCCGTAGGAGATCGGTTAATATTCGTTGGAGAGATTATCTGTTCGCTATAAGTCTTTCTGTTATATCTTTCTTTTCTCTCTTAATGCGTCTCCAACATACTCGTATGCTTAAGATGTATTGATGGGTCACAAATCATTGTAATCAGCCCCCATGCCATAAACTAACTTGATGATTGAAATCTCATATATCTTATAAGGATTCATAAAATCATCTTGAGATGTTATCAACTATCATGAAAGTGCTTTGCGAGAATTGAGATACTCATTTATTCTCAACAAAATTATTTAAAGAAAAGGCAATGATAGTGTGAGTATCGTGTTCCTAAACATTAATTTTGTAATCGTAGGAGTTATCAAAAATAGTGTTAAGTTGTCTTGTGGTCCACTTCTTCTTTGAAGCCAATCAAAGAGCACCATTACACTTATTGTATATATATATATATATACATCGGCTTGTGTCTTAGAAAATTGTGTATATCTACATTTTGACAATGTAGATTGTATGCTCTTACCATACTACACTCTTCTTGTTTTGCTTGCAAGAACACATTTAACATTAGCATTTTGATCGATATAAATTACCATGTACGGATTGAGTATTCATTAGAGATTTTATACTATGTCTCATAAGTAAGCGATGTTCAAGATTCTTATATCATGTGAATGCAAGCGTGCCTCGAGTTCAAAGTTTGAGTCCATTTCGAGTTTAGGTCCAATATTATTGATCGAATTTTATTTAAAATTGGTTTTTAAATTTGAATTTCGTCAAATCAATTTTTTTAATTTTAGTCCAAGTCCTTTAATGTTCACTGAAAATTCGGGCAGCCTCCAGCGTCTCCTCCCCACCGAGGGAGACATCGGGACGGCACTGCCCGTAATTCTTCACCGCGGACCTAAGGTCGACGGCGTAGGGTTTTCGATTTCCAAATCATCCCACCAGGATCTGAAGATCGACTGCGTGAGGTCTTCAATTTTAGAACCATCCCGGCCGGATCTAAGATGCGACGGCCCGGGGTCTCTTCAAATTTTAAAATCATCTGCCCGGATTAAAAATCAACGGGCAGTTTCAATTTCAAACCATCCCGATCGGAACCTAAGTACGCGGCCGGGGTCTTCGACACCTGTTGAAAATTATTTCTCCACTCTTCTCTCATTTCTTTTTTTTTTTTTTATTTCATTATATATATTATATATATATATATGTTGTATCATTACTATATATTATATAATATATATCTTATATAATATACATTATATATTACATATAACAGAGGGAGAGGGAGATAGGCGGATCGGGAAGGAGACCCGATCGGGCTAGGGGGCGGAAGCCACGCACGGAGGAGCGTCGCGTCGGGGTCGACCGGAGGTAGACGATTGGTCAGCGTTGGGTCTGGCCGGAGAGGGTTAGGGCACGGCGAGTAAGAGCCGGCGGAAGCAGGAGGTTGGATCGACTAGGGCAGACGGATGCAGGAGTCGGAGCAAGAGCAAGGAGTGACGCCGGAGTTGGGTCGGCCGGAAGGGTCGACGCCGGAGCAGGAGGTCGCTGGCGAGATCGGACAGAGACTGGAAGCGAAGAATGGAGTTCGGTCGGGCAGAGGTAAGTCTTCCGAAAACTCTTTCTCTATGCGCGTCTTTCTTGAGTGTGCGTAAGAGAGCGAATGAGGTAGAATTTTATTCTTATGTCGTGAGTATGTCGGTTTGCAATTTTTTGAACGAACGGTTGTGTCGTTTGGGTATGTCGGTGGGGAGAGGCTGTTACAGTCAACAGCAGGAGCTGTTACTTTTGTTCAAACACAAGGTGATTTGACGAAGTATGTTCCTATTTCAGTTGGATTACATCAAGGACTAGCCTTAAGCCCTTATCTCTTTGCTTTAGTCATGGATTTTCTTACTAGACATTTGCAAAAGGATGTACCCTGGTGTATGTTTTTTGCTGATGATGTTCTTCTTGTTGATAAGATTAGAGAGGGAGTTGAAGGTAAACTCGAATTATGGAGATCAATCTTAGAGTCTAAAGGTTTTTGTTTAAGTAGATCTAAAACCGAATATATGGAGTATAATTTTAGTAGTAATAGATCCTTTTTTTTTTTGTGGGGGGGTTATGACTTTGAGCGATCAAGTCATTATTAAGTGTACTTGTTTTAGATATCTTGGGTCTATTGTTCATAGTGATGGTGAAATAGATGGAGATATTATTAGTTGAATTCAAGTAGGATGGCTAAAGTGGAGGACTGTTTCGGGTTTGTTGTGTGATAGAAAAGTACCACTCAAAGTTAAGGGAAAATTTTATAAAATAGTGATGAGACCTCCAATGCTTTATGACGCAGAATGTTGGCCATTAAAAGAGAAGCATAATATTATGTTAAGTGTTGCTGAGATGAGGATGCTCGGGTGGATGAGTGGATTTACTCTTAGAGACAGGATACAAAACGAGCATATCCATGAAAAGGTTGGAGTAGCTCCAATGACAAATAAGATTAGAGAGAGTCGCCTTAGATGGTTTACTCATGTAAAACGGCGGCCTTCTGATGACCCTTTTAGGAGAGTAGATGTATTAGATTTGGCCTATGTTAAGAAAGTTAGAGGTAGACCTAAAAAGACTTGATTAGAAAATATTAGAAATGACCTTTCTTTATTAGATTTAATTGAGAATTTGACTCTTAACATGACACAATGAAGAAAAAGGATTCATGTAGCCGACCCCATGTAGTGGGATAAATGCTTGATGTTGTTGTTGCGTTGTTATTTATGTACTAGATTAACTATATATTATAATTTATTTAATGATAAAATAGATTAAATTGGACATTTATCAATAGTCGGAGGATTATTTTGAATTATTACTCAATTGATAATATATGCTTTCTTAATTGAGGTATTTTTATGTACTCGTCCTTTTGACCATTATTGAGAAAGTAAATTGAACTAAAAATGCACTATTTAATTCCAACCGCATAACTTATTAATTTTGGTCAATAAATTGGGTAAACTTCAAATTTTATTTTCGCAGATTACATAACAACTCTCTGATTCAATGTTGTTCTTGCTCATTTTGATGCAAATATACTCTTAAAAATTATGGTTTCAGCATTGAAATATATAAACATAATAAAGAGGAAAGGATTGCCAGAACCTGGGGAACAACAGCTCCTGGGTTACCTTATGTTGAGGAAGTAATCAGACCATCTGGAAATTGGCTGGTTGGGGGAGATCTTGAAGTGCTGGAGCCTATCAAGTATAATGATGGTCTTGATCACTATAGGCTTTCTCCCCGAGAACTTCGAAAGGAATTTGATAGCCGCGAGGCTGATGCGGTGTTTGCTTTTCAGTTAAGAAATCCTGTGCATAATGGCCACGCATTGTTAATGAATGATACACGAAGGCGCCTCTTAGAGATGGGTTATAAGAATCCGATTCTCCTATTGCATCCTTTAGGTGGTTTTACGAAGGCAGATGATGTCCCCCTGGATGTTCGGATGGAGCAGCACAGTAAGGTCACCATTTTCACTTGTGTTCATTATATTATTATGATGAACTTGAATAGAATGCATAAATTTGAAATTTTATGTATTAATAGGTTCTCGAAGATGGAGTTCTTGATCCTGCAACTACAATTGTGGCAATATTCCCATCGCCTATGCACTATGCAGGGCCTACTGAAGTACAGTGGCATGCGAAGGCTCGGATAAATGCAGGCGCTAACTTTTATATTGTCGGTCGCGATCCTGCCGGAATGACTCATCCCATTGAAAAGAGAGATTTGTATGATCCAGACCATGGGAAAAAGGTTTTAAGCATGGCTCCAGGCTTAGAGAAACTCAACATTTTACCTTTCAGGGTATTTCTTTTGCCTTTGATTGTGCTTCTCATATTTCTTGCTTTATCCCGTTTGTGCATATCTTGCTGATAGGCTCTTAGGCTTCGTTTGGGACGGCTTTTTTACCACTTCTTAAAGCAGCTTTCTAGTACAAAAATTTTAATAGGTTGCGGCATATGATCGACTACTTATTATTTTAGTCTCTTTAAACCATACGATTTGTTCATGACTGTAGGTTGCTGCATATGACACTTCAGTAAACAAGATGGCATTTTTTGATCCTTCAAGAGCTAAAGAGTTCATATTCATCTCTGGTACCAAGGTTGGCCTCTCAAATCATGATAATATTTGCAGATAAATACATCATCTTATTGAAAATTACAATATATATATGAATGAAAATTTCTTGAATATTATATTTTTTTCTTATGCAATGTGACTTCAGATGCGAGCCTATGCAAGGAATGGAGAGAGACCTCCAGATGGCTTTATGTGCCCAGGTGGATGGGAAGTTTTAGTCAACTATTATAAAGGCCTGCAAGCAGAAGAAGCAGGACAACAGTCTGCTGCTTTGTCTGTTTAAAGGACTTAACGAATAGAGTCTCCAGAACATTTTGAGGTGGAAGGGCACCACATTTTTCTATACTTTTGATAGAGAATTGACATAGTAAATCCGAGTGACGAGAAGCAGCAGCAGCAGCAGCAGCAGCTGGAAACGTTGCAAGCTGGTATAAACTGCTTTTCTGCTAATTTTATAGATTTTTATTATATTAAGTTGGATAAGTTTAATAAATGCCTCTCTGCTTTCGTTTATCTAACTTTCTTAACTTAATACAATGCCTTTAATTCATAATTAACATTAAACATTTATTTTACAGTGTAAATTGTTAGTCATCATGTTTTCACATATTACAATATTCTGGCCCATTGCGTAGAAACAACTAAGCTAATTGTGGAAAAATGGGTCCAAAATTACATCATCGTTGCCTTTCATGGCGCTCAGTTTATTACTCGACTGAAAAGAAATATAATTTCCTATGCAATGGAAAAACAAAAATGGCCTCTTTTCACATAAGCGAAGGATGTGGCATGTAGCAGAACATTTTCCAATATATATAGATTTTAAGATAAGTTTTGGATGATTTTTTAATTATTTTTTAAAATAATTCTTTAGTAAAAAAAATTAGTTCTATAAATTTTTGAACTCAAAAACTGTTTTAGACTTCGTTTAAGACGACTTTTTTAATATTTCTTAAAGCATCTTTCTAGTATATCAAATAAAAATTATTTATACTAAAAAATTACTTTAAGAAGCAGTTAAAAAATCGTCCCGAACGAAACTTTACAAAGCAATGAAAAAACTGTTGCATGTAAAACCTTAATTTGTGTTGTTGAATTCGAGACAAAAAAGTCACCAGAGCTTTATCACCTGGATATTAAGCTACACAGTTTAAGCCAAGGATTCAGACATCTTCAATTACCAAGATAATTTTTCATGGAGCAATTATTCTTACTTGTTTTGAATGGTTGAGATCAATTTCATCAAAATTCTATTAATAATTAAATCAATACTGTTTGTACATAATGAATTCCACAGATGATTTAAAAGCAATTATGCTGCACAATTATGATCGGGAAGAAGATACCAGCAAAGAGCTTTTAAGCACGAAAGATCTTTCTTTCCTGGAATGCAAGTAAATATTAAGCTTACAATCGGGGCAAAAGTTCCGTTGTTGCCACCAACTGAAATGGTAAAATACTTTTACGGCTAAAATCCTGATAAAATCAATTTAGACGCTCAAACTAGTTTTTATCTGTTATTCTGTGTAGCAATTTTCCATCCAAAATAGAAGAAATTGTGAACCAAGAAAAAAAAATTATTATGTGCGGTCACTAGACCGTCCAGAGGTCAATCATGACACATCACATCACCTGATACAGAGTAATAATATACAATAAATTGGTAATATGGATTAGCTTCCGGATGATGTTCATTGACCACACGTAATAATTTCGTGAAAAAATATTGTATTTGGTACCCACTAGAGGAAAGATTTGATATCAGGCATCATAGAATTAGTACTATAGAGAATGTCAACAGTACATTAAACAACTCTGACAAAATGTGCATGGTTGTTTATTTAAAGGGCGAGGCATTATTTTCTTGTCAGAACATGCTGAATATTTAAGATTTTAAAGAAAGATTCAAAGCAAGATACATGAAACAGCAGTGTCTTTTGACATCTTTTAAAAACAAAAAAAAAAACAAAAAACAAAAACAAAAACTACGGCTCAAAGTTCAGTCTGATACATGAAGATTTCTGATGAGAACTCTTTAGTGATGATGATCCTTCTTTGCCTCGGCCTTTCTTTGAGCCTTTGCCTTAGCCTAGAAAGATTAAGCAAGGATGTTAGATATGCTAACTTTGCAGTCTGTGCAATACTTGTAATATTAGTCCTAATCTCTATTATAATAAATCAAATATTAATAATAAGGTTTCGTTTGGGATTGTTTTCTTACTGCTTCTTAAAGTAGTTTTCTAGTATAAAAATTAAATTTTTTATACTAAAAAGCTGTTTTTAAAAACAGTAAGAAGGTCGTCCCAAATGAAATGTTAGAGACCTATGAAACAAATCACCCTATCTCCGCTAACTAGAGATAAAAAAATCAAGCAGGATAGAGAAATAAAGCTAAGGTAAATACATGCAAGAAAACAAACTTGCATGCCATGTTAGCAGGAGAAAATTCTTATAATCAATTGAATTCTGCCTGGGTAAAAAAATAATAGGAAGAAAGGTGGTTCAAAACTCCTGGATCTGCGCTGGCATCATATCATAATCTCAAAAAGGCACTTGAAATCAAATGTTTCGAACCACATCTCATAACATTTTCTATGCACGGTTGGTGCATAGCAATGTCAATATTCGGATGGCTCAATCAGCAGGAACATAATGCTAGTACTTAGCTGAGAATGGCTAATCTCAGTCACACAACTGTATGATTTTTCTGGTAAGAATGTAAGATAATTGGCTAAATAGATAGAACGGCTAAAGATTTCTAGAAATGTTCCAAATTACATAGTAGCTCGTAATAGATTTGAAGACGATAACACAGAAATTTGCCCAAATATGGGGGTATTATTTGGTAATGTTTTTCATATATTTTATTTTTCTTAAAAAAATGGCACGCACAATGTGCAACACAAAGCACTATATTGCAGATGCAATAACTCCATGGCTTCAACACAGAGAGTAACGAACTTTAGAGTAGCATGTTCATCATCATGAAAATAATGATGACTACATTTCATAAAAAATAACAAAACATCAACAAGTAATACAACATCACCAAAGGCAATCTTTTCTCGTTCTCCTAAGTTCCATCCAACTAAGGGCGGAAATTACACTAGCAAGGAAGATTTTCATGTAACTTGATACCTGGAAAAGTTAAACGTTAACATAATCCTAATTCAGTATATTTGCTCCCCTAAGCATAAGTTACTGACACTGCTCGACATGAGCTTGCCTACCACAGCTAGCTAATCGATCTACATCTTTCTCACATATAAATTATGAAATTTCCTCTCACCTGTTAGATCAAAAATCCTACAAAGGATTCATAATAAAAAGTTCCTATAAAAACATCTTATCATTGTTCATTTTTTGTTATTTTGGTTCAAACCAATATAAGTATTAATATACATTGGTCAACATGCAACCCATAAGTCAAACCCACTTAGCCCATTAACTTCCCTAAGATCCACTAATTTAGGAGCAATAGTTTAAAAGATCATTAAGCCCAGAAAAGTGGAGTCACCAACCGTTGGCTGTCTCTGATCATAATTGGGCTTGTTAGTGACAAAACGTTCCTTGCCCCTTACCAAAATAAAATTCAATTGAATGATCAATTCCTCAGGTACATAATTCAATTCTTGATAAATCACAGATGATTATACATTTTCAAACAAAAATGTGAGAACTCGGAGTCTTCTTTCCCCCTACTAAACCATTTTATTATGTATGAGTGTTGACCTTTCCAACTTATTCATAACAATGTTTGTAACACATGATGTTCAAAGAAAGTCTTTTGAAAGTGCAATGTCTTGTAGTCATATTAAGGCTTCGTTTGAGACGGCTTTTCTGCTGCTTCTTAAAGTAGTTTTTTAGTGCAAAAAAACTGTTTTAAGAAGCAATAAAAAAACAGTTCGAAATGAAACCTAAGTTGTCAACCTTGGGAAGCACTTTGCTTGGCTTGTCATCAAGCATCCACTGTATGAACTATTGAAATTTGTTGACATTTGTTACCGAGTAAGTGGCTTCCATGTATGCTGACATACCCTCCTCTTAGAAGCATTGGCAACATACTTTTTCTAGCATTTTAAAAAGTTCATAACAAAGAGGTCCAAGTTTGCTCCCAACATATTTGATTTGATGATTATCGAGACAACCAAACAAGGTCTTCAATTGGTAGTCACTTTGGAAGTGGTGTCCATAGTGTCAAGCTTGCAAGTTTGTTGCATGTGCTGTAACTGTTGTTCCATTTCTCAATGCCTTGATGGATGCCTTCAAAAAATTATAGGGCCCTTTCTTTACTGTCCTATTCCAAGGCAGAGTCCTTTAGTGATAGATGTAAAAAGTAATTTGCAGAGGATAATTATGTAAGCTCTTGCTCGTGGAACCGTGCATTATTCCATTGAAGGTGAATTGCAAGAATGAAAATAAACTCATTGCACATCTTTGATTTATGAGAAATATCGTCTGATTATCAAACTCTGTTTGATCATTTATTTAAGGGTGGTAAGGCATGTTCTTCTTCAACTTAGCATCCATCATGCTCCATAATGGTACATAAATAGTGCTCACGAATAAATATCACCATATAATACAATGGAGATAGGAAGCCCATAATGTACCCAAACATGTTAAAAATAATCTCATGCCGTCTAAGACCAAGTTATGGCCTTCTTGCATTATTAGTACCACCATTATAGGGAACTTTCCAATTACCACAAAGAGCTAATTATTAGCATGCCATGTAAAATCCATGGAACCACTCTCCTGTGGCCTTGAGAGAATGAACAATGGCACGTACACATTGTTCACCTATTATTGCCATTTGATGTTTTGCATAATACACAATCCTCGACAAATTGTGCAGTATATTGTTCCATCTATGGCTAATAAATGCGACATTACAAATTTGTTAATATCTTATTTACCACAAAGTCTTTGAAAATCTTAGAAGAGTGAACTTCATGCATCCATTTGATCTGATCCACGACTTGTGGAAAACACAATAGTATGCCAATGTAATAATATAGAGAAGGTTGTCTTTCAAAGAGCACTTTAAGACACACTACCACTTCACCACCCAACAAAAAACAAGATCTTCCTTGAGTAAGCGGTGTTTTTCTATGTTCACTTGCTTTAAGTTGAATGGTACTCGAGATGAACAATCTCATGGTTAGAGGATGTGCCATGTCCATTGATTAATGTTGGACTTGCACTTGATGATAATATTTATATATTATAAATAGACAACTATTTGAAGTTGTGTGCTTGTTGCAACCATGCTTGCATTTTTCCGTATATACCACCATCTCCTTGCCAAGTAAAATGGCTAGTGCTTGACCAATATGTATAATGAAAACATCCTAATTGTTAGTGGCACAATTAAATTATGAACCATGGTAATTTTCTTTTAAATGAAATGTAATGGAGTGGCCATTTGAAATCAATACTACCCTCATCACATGATAGTTCACTTTAGCTTCCATTTCAAATATTCTATGC